AATACCCAGGGAAATGGTAAGAGGCAACTCTTTGATAGGGACCATCATGCTGAGCTGGGGAAGGTTTCCCCGGGAAATAGGGACTTGAAGGTGGAACAGGAATTCTGCAGGCGATAAGCAGATGGGACGCTCACCTGGTCTCCTTCTACCTCAGAGGCCCGTCATCCTGGGTCCTTGGCCTGAGGTGAGAAGGCGAGCCCACATACCACTGCACCTCCAACTTCTGAACTGCTTACTGCTGCCATCCCAGTCATTTCTCACATCACTGCTGGGATAAATAATGGCTGTCCTGCCTTCTATTTTTGCCTCCCCTCCCCCAAATAGCTTCCTATCACACTCAGCATTAAACCCAGACTCCTTACCCTGCTTGTATGGCTTTACTTGAGTGAAACTTGCCTACTTTTCTTACCTTGACCTCCACCCCTCATGACCATTCCCTGCACTCTAGCCACACAAAAGAGCATTCTGTGTCTGAAACTAGCTCAACTTGTACCCACCCCAGGGCCTTTGCACTTGCTGTTCCCATGCCTGCAATGGCCTTCAACTAGCTCTCAATTCAAATATCACCCTCACAGAGAGATCCTCCCTGGCCCTCTTCTTCCAAACTGTGTTCCGTGGAGGTGTCTCGGGAGCAAGAGAGAGCAAACGAAGCTCCCAGCCCTCTCTCCTCTCTTTGGTCCAGAAAAGCCCTGCTTTGGTCTGTTTCCATGTGAAATGTCATCTGAAGAAAGGAGTCCAGTAATTTAAACATTTTTGAGAGGCACGGGCCTGGTCCATTCGCAAGGGGACCTCAAGGTATGTCATTACAGAACTATGCTTTGGGCAGCAAAGTCCGATGGCATTCATTAGCAGCAAGTCCACACCTTTGGCAGAAAGGGTGAAGCAATCTCAACCCTCGGTCCTGCTGGTTCTGGAAGGGGCCTCAGATTCCTACTCAGCCCAGCCCTCTGGGCAGCCAGCCCTGACCAGTCAGTTGCAGCTGCCTGGAGTGAGAAATGAAATCTAATTATAATTACCCGCTCCGTGCCAGGACGGGTATTCGCATGAACTCAGAGCTCAGGAAGTGCAGTTAGGAGAGAGGGCACCACCCCATGTAGCTTGTGCTAATAAGACTCCCTGCCATTGAGGGAACAGTGCCCTCCAGGCCCATCAAGTGTCCCTACTTGCAAAGTCCATCTGTGAGTGGAAAGGCAGGGCCAACGGGGATAACGAACTGTGTCAACCTAAGTGCTCCTTCTGAGTGTTCGAGCATGACACCCGCTTCCTTGCATGACCACCCTGGCCACTCCTCTGTGTGTCCTGTCAGCACCTGTCTGGAGGAGGAGCGGGCTCTGCGCTGTCTCGGCTGCTGCCCGCCCTGTCCCCTGCCCTGCCCCCTCCATGCCAGGCACAGCTGAGGCTCGAGTGAGGGTGAGAGGGAGGAAATGGTTTTCAT